TTGAAACTCCCATGTAGTGACAGGTTGGCACGAATCGGCCGATGACCAGAACATGGCCATGTCGCATGTACGGGATCATCAAATCAGGAATGCGCTGGATGTAGGCGTGGTTTTGGTGGGCCCGTCTTTGTACGATTCAACATCGACCGTTGTAGTATGGTAGGGACGCAGCTCCGGAGTCAGGCAGCTCTGAAACCAGGCCATTTCCTTTCATTTGGATAGAACAGGTAACAGACCCCACCGAACATAGGGAGCACTACATCCACTTCCATGCGAATCTCTATACCCCACTTGCCGAGTTATGTACAACTCCCTACCACCCCATCATCTCTACCATCGCCCAACTCTCATGCGAACGACCGGCACGGGTAGCTGTGTCTTGTTAGCCCCACATCTCACTCAACCCAACGGCAAAACCATAACTCACCCTTCACCATACGACTGCTCCGTCTCCAGGTTGAACTTGTGCACATCCCACTTCCCCGTCGCCAAGCTCTGGCCGCTCGGCAGCGGCGGCAGACCACCACTCAGCTCCAGCACGCGCTTGGCCGCCTCGACACCGCTGCTCTCCAAATAGCCCGCCACGCCCGTCTCCTTGCCGGACTCCTCGGCCGCCACCAGGGCCTTGGACCCTTCCTCGCCGACCAGCTCGACGCGGGGCGCGGCGGCGCTGCCGACGGTGAGCAGGGCGACCTGCTGGGCCTGGCCGACGATGCTGTGGCGCGGGTAGCTGCGGCGGGCGTCGCGCTTCCAGTAGGGGTTGTCGGCGATGTCGCCGGCGGGCACCGTCACGGGGTCGTCGTACTGCTTGGGGTCGTTGCTGCCCGGCGCGGGGACCCGGTTGTAGGGGTTCAGCGGCACGCCGTTGGACCGGTTCGGGTCGATGGCTGTCGCCCGCCGGATGCGCTCCCAGATGCCGGTGGATTGGAGGGTGTATTTCTGAGGAGGGGGGGAGAGAGAAGGGTGTTAGAAGATGGGGTTCTTGAATTGGGAATCGCTTCGCTCGGGGGGGGGTAGGGCGAGGGATAACTGTCGCTTCTTGGGGTTTGCCGATTGGGGGCTTGCGGTTGGATCAACTCACCTTTGTGATGCTGACGGCTTCGCCGGCAGCCTTCGTTGCCGCTTTGGACGCCATGGTGGCAGCAGTAGCGGATGTGTACCGGGCGAGATAACTACCGGGTCGACTTGCTCGATCCGCTGTCAAGGTGAGTGAGGCCCGGGCGTTGGTGGGACTTGGCAACTGAAGCTTCAGGGCCTCGACGGGCCGGGGTTCAGCCGGCTGATGAACGCATTGGCCACTCGGATGAAGAATCAATGGTCCAGAATTCCAGAATTCGCAGGGATGGCATGGACCACATCCCCTGGGGAAGACGGAAGCTCTTTTTTGTTCTTTCCGAAGAAGAGAAACCGGTCTGACATGACCGAAATTACACCATCTCACCTGACTGCAGACTCTTCATTTCACTCAGCGACGGCTTGGTTGCCGGGCTGCGGATACGATGGAGCTAACTAGTGTATTTTTGGGTGTAACTATATGTTATTTCACAAACATTTTTTCACGTTCTCAGGCTCAACGGGTGCACTCACTCGCTAAGGTTGCAACGGGGGACGGAGGGAAGTTTGACTTTAACTCGCCCGTCGGCGGCTGCGGCCAAATTCCCCCAACTCGTCCTGCACCTCCCCCCGGCCGCTCCTCGATTTGTTTGGGGATACACAGCTGCGGGCGAGGCTGGCGGGCCACCCCCAGGTCACCCGTATCTGGCTGGCCTCCGAATACCCTGCCTGCCCTGGACGGCAAAACCTCCCACGGACCCTTTTTTGGCTCCTGCTGCTTGTGCTCTGCCGCAGCGGAGCTCCATCGCAACCGAACCCCCCTCCCCTGGCCTGGCCTCCTCTGGGGCCGTACCCTTCTCTGATTGGTTAGCGCCTGCGCAACCAGCTCAACGTCCTGTTTACCACCCCAAGCTCCCGACTTCATCTCTTTTCATCTTTCTTCTCCCTCTTGCCGTCAGCCTTCCACTTTCATCATATCGTGGTCGCAACCCATTGGCGACCCTCTTCCCGTAGTCTTTCATCATCCATTAAACACCCTCTCTCACTCCTGTAAGCTACTTTAGCTGTATAAGCTGCGCGTAACCTTTCATCGCCCATCATGCCTATGGAACTGCGCAAGCGCAAGGAGGCTCCCGCGCCTCCGCCCGCCCCGGCGCGCAAGAAGACCACCAAGACGACCAAGGCGGCCAGCACGGCCACCAAGGTCAAGGAGGCCGTCAAAGAGAAGGTTGCCGCCGCCGTCGCCAGCACCAATGGCTCGTCCGACACTGCCAAGCCTGCCGTCGGCGACACCATCAACCTTGACGGCTTCTGCGGCGAGATCGAGACCCACGACGGCACCAAGACCACCCTCAAGGCGCTGGTCGACGAGAGCGAGGCCGGCGTGGTGCTGTTCACCTACCCCAAGGCCTCCACTCCAGGCTGAAAGCCAAATCCATTCATTCCCATCCCTACAACATAGCATCACCTCCACCGTTCTCCGTTATAGCCTCTAATCTCACACAACTTGTAAACAATGCCTTGTGGTATCTGGGGTTCTAAAACTGTTTAACGCAAGCTTGTCTTGCTGTGAGTTTCCCTGATCGATCGGATGCTGTTTG